TGTGTTTTCTTTAGGCTTATAGGATAACTGAAATTATTTTACGTATTGATTAGTATATTGAAATAAATATTGATAAATAGGATCATTAAATAAAAAACACTAGGTGGCGTATTCAATTTGTTTTACACGTGGATGATACCATATTAATTATCATGCCTTTAATCGCGTTGTAAGATGTATACTGGAAAAAGTTGTTGGAGTAATATTGTTATTGTTGAACTCGGAAACAATAATGTCGTTTTTGTGTCTTCTGGAATCAAGTATGTTATTGAAATTTGAAACAGTGGTAGCGTTACGTTTGTTTTATTTAGAAACTATAGAACCATACAAAACATTGAATTTAGAGAATAAAAATGGTTATTAGTATTTTGAGCAATCAGCGTAAGATAAACTATCGACGTTTTAGTCTTTAGTAAATGCCTACAACAAAAAGTATTCAAAGTTTAAGATCCTGTACTCGAGAACCACTCTTGTCTCGTCTTTACCGATAATCTTTAAAATGCGTATCACCATCATTTCTTCAATATTATCTAAAACACTGAAACAATGCATGTCAGGAAAGGTGTTTTACTTTTTTTCAATGTTTAGGCCTAATCTACTTGAGGATCAGTGTTAAAGCTGGGTGAATTTTATGCTATTTGTGTTCTTGGTAATCGCATACTCAACATACGTTTAATCAAAGTTGTCACCCCTCAGATTTTGCAGTTCACTGTTCCAAAGGAAAACTAATAGTATTCGTGATGAAACAAAGTTAACTGCATGAAATTTAAATGTATTTTGAGACCTTTTTATTCGTTTAAAGAATAAATTCCCAAGTTTTTATGCACTGGTAGTGAATAATATAACTATATGGCTATTCGTGGTATCAACACGAGTAAAGATGTAAAAGATTTAAACACCAGGACTAAGCGCGTGACAAGCTTGTGATCGTCACCCTGAGGAAAGTCAACCAGTGTTCTTCTCCTTGAAATGTAAGTTTGTTCATTTCTTTTACAACTTGTAAGTTTAATTTTATCATATACTTTAAAGAGTGAAAGAGACCGACTCACGTTTTAGTCCTAAGTCAATGGCGGTTTCATTCCAGTTATGTATTTTATATTTCACTTCTGTAGTGCATATTATTGGTGTATAGAAGATATTAATACTAGAAATAAACGACCTTATAACACCGAAATGCTCTTCTCAACTACGACCACATATGAATAGCGACGAAGGATGGCGCCTATAATTTTATTTTATTTTTTATCCTATCTGTTTGTTATTTCACTCTGTAACCTTGATAGAATGTTTGTGTACTACAGGTAACAGTTAATTATTTCAACAATAAGCTTTACTACTTAATACGTCAAAAGCACGATGTATAAATGCACGTTATAAGATTGGAATAGAAGTTATTATTTAAACCATTCGAAGCTTTGTACTGTCAGTTTCGGTTTGTGTTTTAGTGAACGCTCCTGAAGAAGCTGTAAAGCGAAAGGTTGAGTGTCTAATTAAACAACATTTTGGTGTTATAAGGTAATTTATTTCTACTTCTAGTATTGGTTTTATAGTTTGTTGAATCATTTGATTTTCACGCTATATGATAGAAATATAATGTATTTTTTTACTCATATTCTTAGTCTTCATGTTACTGAAGTCTGGTTTAAATTCAGCTCTGATACTAAAGTCTTGATGAATAAAATACCGTATTTTTCGGTGTATAAGACGCACTTTTTTTACCCCAAAAATTGGTATCAAAATCTGCTTGCGTCCTATACACCGAAGGTATGAATAATATATATACGCTATACACAAGCCATGTGTAAATATATTTAAATAGGCATGGATAGTTTAATTCAATTGAATGTGTTATTTATAACAATAGTAGTTTTTTCTTTTAAAAACATAACTATTTATAATGCTCCCTAAATAATAAAAGAAAATAAATTACAGTGAAAGCAATGAAGATTTTGTAGGTTTTGAACCAAACTAAATAACAGTAAACCTTTTTTTGATTTAATGGTATTTTCTTATTTTGATGTTTTGAGCTCTTTTGTGTTTAGAACAATATATACTAATTTTTAAAGTATCAAATTGAATTTTTGTTCAACAAAAATCTTTCAAATGTGACTGTAGCTTTTTTCCCCCAAAACTTTGTCTTCAAAATAAGGGTGCGTCTTATATTCCTAAAAATACGGTACTGTTTTTTCTTTCTAGAATGACTTCAAATTGTAACAGGAAACTACATTCGTTTATCCTAAGTACATTTAAACTCATAACAGTATACATCTACTTATAGCTTGTTGGTCACTGCTAAATGGCAGAGGAAAGGTTTAGTGACTACTGAGATTTTTCAAAACCAAAGTATGGTTGCCTTGAAATAAAACTGCAAACTCAGTGTTTAATAGTAATGTAGATGTTTTTCATTTCTTGTGTGGTGTACAATAATTAGTACTTTGTTTATGGGAGATTTATATATTCTCAACTGCAGCTCCTCATTCACACATTTCTGTGGCCAGGAACTATAATTCTCTGGGGGCACCCTAACTGCAGGGCACATAAGTAGGACGTGGGTAGGCATCCAAGAGGTAACTATGCATCCTTACCCAGGATCCCAATAATAGAGTAAAGTTGGAAGTGAACAAAATGAGGAGAATAGGCACACCAAAGTTGTGGAGTAGTGGATAACTGCAGACAGGAGGTGACTGGAGGAAAAGTAATTGAGGGGTGTGGTTAGGGTCCAACAGTGTAGGGGTCAAAATCATAAATATTTATGATTTTAACTTTATACACAAGTACCAAAATACTATAATTAGTGTAGGGGTCATTGGTTGTGGGAAAAAACTCACAGAAGTAACGGGGTCAGATCACATTCATGTAAGAAAAAAAAACTGAAACGAAGCCCAAAGGAAATGAGGCTCAATGCTCCCCACCCCCAAATTCAAATGTGCCAGCATGGAGAAGGAAGAAAAACTAGGTATTCAGGGGAAGGGCCAAATGTAGGAAGAAAGGAGAGGAATAATACAAAACTGGGGATATGAAGAAAAGTGAACATACTTGTGACATCATATCCAGGGAGGTTGACGACGATCTGGAAGCATCTACAGGCGGAAATTTGAGATTGCATGGCTAAGAAAGGAGGTGGAAAAAAAAATTACCCAAATCATCTTAATCTTGCCCAGATTCAACAGACAAAAAAAGGTGAATTCTGGGCTTGGAAAACAGTCGGCCACATGATGGACTCTAACTCCCATCAAAAACTGCAACTCCTCAGCCAAAAATATAGGGCCTGTAGCCTAAGACACAGCAGGTTAAAGTATTCTAATATTTGTCACTACAGACATAGCAATAGTGATATGGAAATCAGAATTAATGTTCAACTGAAGTGAAGTTCAAAAGGAATAAACTACAGTTAGTATATAAATGTACATATAAAGCAAAAAATAACAAAGTTGTTCAATAAACAGTGCAAAAAACATTTAACTAAAATTAAAGTAAAAGGACAAGCAAAAATTTTAACATGTCATAACACTATTGTACCAAATCGAGAAGTGAAGATTGGATTAACCTGTGTAGAGGGAGCCAGCTGCATCAGGAGATTGTGTTGTGCTCCTATTGGTGGAGGGTTGCCACATGCTTACTTGCATGTGAAAACAGAGCAGAACCACACTGTAGGTGAGAGTTTCAAGGCTAGTGGCTAGCAAAAATATTTTCACATATAGAGGACAGCACGGAATGAGAAAAGCTATTATGTGAGCAGATGAAAGGTATCGTATCGGAATAAACAATACTACTGATACATATGCTAGGTCTCACACGAACCAACTAGTTCAATAAACAATATTACTGATTTATATGCTAGATCTCACACTGACCAACTAGTCTAATAAACACTACTACCAATTCATATCCTAGGTCTTACACTGACCAACAAGTCTAATAAACATTGCTACTGATTCACAAACTTTGTTTTTATTTTTCATACAACATATCATAGCTTAGCCCAGCAGTAAGCTTTAGAGCTTATAATGCCAAAATTCTGGTTTCAATCGCTAAGGTGGGCACAGTGCAAACAGCTTTTTGTACAGCTTTGTGCTTCAAAATGAAGGTTAAAAATTTTTTAAATAAAAGGTTGAATTACATAAAAATACAAGTTATTTTTTATCTATATTTGCCACATTTCATATTATCAAATAGCATATTTCATATTATGAAATAGCAAGACATATATCTATATGTAGGTTGGTAGATACATACGTTTTTATTTTAATGTTGTGGATTGCATTGTTATTTACTATAAATATAAATTTTGTGGTTACTTATCTACATATGGAAATTTTATGATAAATCATGGCAAACTGCCAGTACTTACTCTAAACTGTTCCCCTCAGTCTCTTTAACTTGAGAGATTTTTGTAACTATTTCTGTCAAGTTGTTTTCCACACCACCACATCTAAAACACATTTTTTATTTCCTTTTGTTAGGTGGATAGGATGACAAGGCAGCCAAGTCTTGTCCAAAGATGGCTGAAGAGTAACTTAAAATTTCTTCAAACAACATGTGTGGAAAAGCACTACATCGAATTAAAATAAAAACATACACATCTACCAAACTACAAATAAGTATTGTTTGAATATCTACAACACACGGGTCATATAGAGGGCAAACTGACTAAAGATATAGCCTACTTACAAGCTGATCAGAAGTAAAGTCTATTTATATGCTGGTAAAGATGAGATTTTTGTACAAATTGACCAGAAGTAAGACTACTCCCTTACTTATTGTGTAATTTTTTTCAAAATTATTATTGTTTTTTAGTGTTCTTAGTTTGAACACTCGGTTTTGCTCAAGCAACACTTTAAATATTCCTGTTTTAAAAGTATGCAAGATGTGAGTTTGCTAATTGGCAATTAACTGACTTCTCTTGCATACAAGCCAGTAACAGTGATGTCCAGAAATAGAATCACATGAATTAAGCTCTAAAAGTGAAAGTGGAGAAAAAAAATGGATTTAAAACTTACTCTATTGTTTACTTACAATGGAACTTCTGTAGTAAGGCTCGAGCTTTAACATCTCCTAAGGATGGTATACAAGTTAAAGTCCTCACCAATAGGACTTCCATAGGGGGAATTTGTCTCTTGAGCCGAAATGGATTACAGCTCTCTCTGTTCTCTGCATGAACCTTAAGTTGGAGTAGGAATGAAATGGGTTAAGATATTTAATATTTTATAATACTGACACTAATATATTTTATTTAAGGAATTCATAATCCTAGATCTTCAGGAGAATGGATATTAGATACAACAATTCAAACTATATGATACAAACAAATCTTTAAGCCAATGGAACACCTGCATGTGGATACAGCAAACGTTTAACTGGGTGTGTAACTTAGGAAGGTAAGTTTCATACTGCAGTGTTAACATCTCAAATACATGATACATTAGTGATGAGCCAACATCACTAATTGTACCATAAAGCAGTTGCTTCTTCACCTCAACAAAGAGCTTGGTTTATGTTTTGCTAAGCAATAATTAATAAATACACCAAACAAACAAAGAAACATAATCTTTATGATCTATCCAATTAGGAAGTGTTTCTAGAAGCAGAAATGAAATATGCTGGAAGATTTCTCCTCCTAGTGGAAAGTCCCTTCTTCTCTCACTTGTATTAATTATGCATGATGTTGTAAGCACACTTTGCTGTCATAAGTGAGTGAGGTATCAATATAGTATAGAGATTAGAGGAATCAAAATCATACTATCATGGCAGTGAATGCTGAATCCCACTAAGCAGAAAACCAAACTAATTAAAATAATGTACCTAATTAAGGAAATTTTCAATAATATTAATAAAAATCATTATCCATATAGGACTATTTAATTAATAGTAACATTGCTACCAATAATCAATGACCAGTTGATTATGCTTAACCAATCATCAAACATAATTTTATAATCTATTCCCACAACTATGATACAAAACCCTAAAATTGAAGAATAATAACTTCTTCTGGGCGGACAGTGGACTGAATCATATTTCTCATGTTTTGATGTTTTCTACTCTAACACAGTGCTATATATCTGTTTGTCTTAAAATAAAAACCAAATAATGTTGAAGTATGCTCAAATAAAGGAATTATATACTCAATACAAATCTCACTTTGAAATTTCCTACATGGAATAAGCAGAAAAACATTTTTATGCAGTTTGTTCCAAGAATCTCCCTTAGTTTTATGTATACCAAAAGAGGTCTTTTCCACTCTAGGTTTCTTGCCAAAACACATTTAAAAACAAGAAACAGTAATGGCAGATATAAAGAATGGTAGACAGAATTGTACAATAAGTGTATTACAGTGTAACGATCAACATTACATTTAATGATGCATAATAAAAATCATTTCATATAAATAACTTGAAGGTCTGATTAATAAAGTTGAATATCTTGTTAAATACACATGATTGTTTTAACTTAAGTATAGTGCAAGTGTTAATTTTAAGTTATTTTTAGAAGTGACAGTTTACTGCAGGTTTGTTTACATAACTGTGTGAATCATACATTGTTCAGTTCAACTGCCATAAATTGGAGATTGTTGTATTATTGCATCATGTTACTAGAACCTTCTAAGTATTTCTCAAGTATTATTACATCATAATATTTCATAGTGTGTGGAAAGTTCTAGACCTCAGTCAGCTATTTATAAATACACATCCAAAATGTAGTTCAAGGTAGACAAAGTTAAGTTAGTGAGAGATATAGTCAAAGAGATCTAGACTATGTGCTTGTGAACTTAGCAATAAACAGTGTACAATAGCAATTTTTAAACTGACATTGTCACAGATTGTATTCCAATAAAACAGTAAAGAAGAAGAATATATCTTGTCAAAGTGTGTTCTTAAGTAATTGAACCAGACTGTATGGACTCTGACAAACAAGAGAATTATTTAAAGCTCTGGATACAACTGTGATAACTAACAGTGTGACGAACATTTGTATATACATTTGACTTGTTTTAATATACAGTTTTCAAACAAATGGATTGTGTACTATTTGTTTATTGTTGAAATCTATCATCAACTAGTCACAGACACCAACCATAAAAAATCTGGCCTACACAAAACCTTATTTATGACTAGAAGTCAACTTAATTCTGCATAGAAACAGAGATTCCAGATCCTTAGAAGTACAAGATGGAGCCATGAAATGTGCATTTTTCTAAGAGCCAGCCCTTGTCTCTTACCATCTGTATCAAAAGTTGTCCAGCTTCAGATGAGTTTGCAATTGGTATGAGAGTTAGCCCTAGTTCTAGCACAGTAAATTTTTGTAGAGAATAAAATTGCTGAGTGGTGTATGGTGTTTTTTCTACGATCACAACACCTCGCATGCAGTCAGCCTACAGAAGAAAACAAACATAAAAAACTTATAAAGCATGCAGTTTAAGAAACTAGAAAAAAAAAATAATTTGGAATATAAAAAAAACCTTGTGGATGCCTATTTAACATGAAATTAAATACAGTGACAACAAATAACAAAACAAAAATAAAAAAAAAAGATTAGCACCTTGAAAAACAAGAAAATGAAAAAAAATATATGAGCTTAAAACTTTTTAGATCACAACAATATAGTATGAGAGCAAAATTATTTATTATTATTAATATATGTACCAGCAAAGAGTACTAATGAATATTTTTTAACATCACATTTTATTTAATGTTTGTGTTGAACATGAATAACAAAAATTAGTATTATATATAGAAATGATTTTCTATTTTGTATTTTCATAAGGACATTCAGATGAAATTGTTAGTCCCAAAATTTTGACTATTTTTTTAATGTCCTTTAATGATGAGACTTAATTCTACCTTATGGAAACTACAGCAGTTAACCTCCAGAGATTATTGTGTCAGCAGCTTTGACAAACATGACTGCTTAATTTTACATAGTCAGTATAACCTCCTCATGTAAGGTATCATATATATACACACAATTTCAAAGTGTTATTGAAGTCCTACACTGAACTTGGTCTAGAGCTGGATCCTTAACTCAGTATAATAGATTCCATTGATTAGAATGTGTAAAATAGGTAAAATTAAGACTAATGTCATTAAAAAATCAACTAATTTACATTAATGTTTCCAATAATCACTATTTTCCATTATCCCAACAATTCAAGTCCTATGTGAGAATACTTGATTAATGAATATGGTGATTATATTGTTATGAAGTCCTACTAATTGTCTAAGTCTGTTTTGATGTGAAGCCTATATCCAATGAGGAACTGAAAACAAGTTACCCTAACCACAACATTTAGGAAATATTATGCTAGTTACAAAAAATTGATTACTCGAGGTTGGATCATAAGAAACATAAATTCAAAAAATAACTGTATGAAGGCATACAATGAAACACCCGTCTTAAAGGTCAAAATTAGTTTTAGCATGTACTGTAAAAACAATGGCAAAACAGATTATATACAACATATCTTGCACAATAGAATTTTATCATTTAAGAAGCTGGTAATTAATTGTTTTCATACATGTATGTAAGAAGTCGGAACTTCCTGCTCTGTAACATTTAGTGAAGGTTTTATCATACCATCAACCTTGCTGAACAATTCTTGCTACACCTTTATTGTTGGTATATGGTTCACTACTTCCACTTGCAAATATGCATTACTGTTGTGCAGTGGGGTTTCTTTAGACTTCCCAAACACAATAAAATGGGGAAGCTGTAAATGAAACAAGTGAGACACAACTGTTCTATATTGAATCATTTTAAATTAAAATGATAAAAACCCTATAACCTGAGCACTTTTGAAAGGTGGACCCTTCTTTTCAGGGGCAAACTAATTTTGGAAAAAACTACCAAATCAGCACAGCTTGACTAAGTGATACAGGATGACACGAGGATGGTCATTTACACCCCTCCATCTAAATTCATATTAATAGAATTCTTGAAAACAGTAAGACTTTCTTTTCAGTATTGGTACCTATATATATGTATTTTTATTGCACTTTTAATGTTTATGTTAAGAAAATAAAAATAAAAATAGAAGCACAATTTCCTATCCTTTGTTACAAATGAGTATTTATTTCACCCAGATACTCCAGCTAGTGGTACATATTCATTTTTACTCATCAATTCACACTATTTCTATTTTGTTTTTTTCTCATTGAAACATTCAGTGTGTTGTCAGTTTTTTTGTTGATGACTAACACTGTTGAGCACTGTTAGTTAGTTGTTTGTGGATACTTCATTCACAACTGTTTTATAAAACATCTCAGTAATCGTAAGACAACAGTCACTCATTTTGTGCTGTTGCTAGCCACTAATCGTCATCCCTAACTCTAAGTTCCAAACCATACCTCTTTTCTGTAACCATCAATAAATCACAAAATTACTATTATGTTTGTATGTCAAACAAATTATACTAGAGTTCATTTGAGCAAACCTTTGTCTCCAAACCCCAACTACAACTTTGATTCGAGACCTGTAATCTGCATATTGCTATTAATTGTTAAGTTAATACTAGAACTACATGGTTCAGTCATAAAACAAGATGTGATATTTATATTGCATATACTTAGATTATAGTCATTACTTCAGAGCATTAGCTTTATTGTGATATACCATTTTTTAACTATATATAAAATGTGGTCCATGTTTTGATCACACGCACATGTCTACCTAGCTACGAATGAAGGTAAAATGGCCTCAAGGGATTTTTGTTTGGGATGAGAATTTACACATGTTTATTAAACAGTTGTTTAAATGGCAATTCCCACTTCTTGAAGACATAACATTATCGAAAACCAACATGGCTTAGTAATCTTCCATGCAAAAAAGTTGCAAAATTGGAAACTTTTGTACTTAACCTTCAATTACTTTGCCATGTAGGAAAAACATCCTAAGTGGCAGATTCAAAGTAAAATGAAAGGAACACTTTCATATCTGTAAACAAAATCCAGTTCTTGAAGTGAACAAGGCATAATATAAACAAAAAATATATCTATCCTAAACTGATGATTGTTTCTGTGTGTATAATTTATGACAAATAATTATCATGTAATTGCTTTAGTGTGTAGATCATCTCTCATTGTATACTAACTGCATGAATTGTGTAGTGTTCACAAAGTAGTGTCGAAGTCTGGCAAGTGTTATGTACATACATAGAGGAAAAGGTATTATTTGGCACAATTTCTTGAAAACTTGGTTAAACATGTACACTTCAAGATCTTAGATAATTATGCTAAAAAGTGTACAAGTTTTATCATTGAGATAATAATTTGGTAAAGTGAAGCACGTGTATAATTTGATGATATTCAGAACTAGGGATTAATAGTTTGGCAAGTGAAGCATGTGTAATGTGAAGATATACAGAACTAGGGAATTAAGTTTGGTAAGGTGAATCATGTGTACTGTGAAGATATCCAGAACTTGGGGATTAATAGCTTGGTAAGGTGTAGCATGTGTAATATGAAAATATTCAGAACTAGGGGATTAATAGCTTGGTAAGGTGAAGCATGTGTAATGTGAAGATATACAGAACTAGGGAATTAAGTTTGGTAAGGTGAATCATGTGTACTGTGAAGATATCCTTAGTTGGTAAGGTGTAGCATGTGTAATGTGAAAATATTCAGAACTAGGGGATTAATAGCTTGGTAAGGTGAAGCATGTGTAATGTGAAGATAACCATCTCAAACAGTAGTGGATGTGAGAACCATAAGCACTTGAATTGACCTAGAACTCAAAAACATGGAAGATGAAGAATGTCATTCAGCTCACTAATATCAGCCTCATTGAAAACATACTAAATTATTTAAATTCATTGACCTTAAATAAAGCCCTTCAAAACAAAACCTAAATCTATAGGGTGATGGAGAAGAATTGAATCATCATGATTTAGAAAAATCTTATATGGTTGCAACTTAGAAATATGATGTTGCATAACTTTTCCATGGCCAAGTATTATACCCATCACTCATGTTTGGATTTTCTACCACTCAAACACAGAAATCTGTCTAAACTTTGACAATTTTACAGATAAACTAAGTCTCCCCAGTTCTTTTGTGATCCAGAGAAAAAAAGTCCAAAATTCTAAGTCTCTCCTCATACTTTAAGTGACCAAACCACAAATCGTTCTAGAAGACTGTTCACCCTGGGTTCTTTTCAACATGATAAAGTCCTTCCTATAATGAGGAGACCATCACTGACACAATACACCAAGAAAGCCTCATCTGAGTGTTTCAATAGGTTGTTATGTTCTAGATAGTTTCCTGTTACATATATAAATCTGAGCTTCAAAAAACATACATTAATTCTATTCTTGTCATAATTACGAAGATATGTGGAATGTTAAAAAAAAAGATACTGTTTCCTAAGTTCTTTACAATGTCCCATACCTACCTGCCTCATCTTTACAAGTTTCCTTCTGAAAGATGTTCCTGCTATAATGTCTACTTCAGAGACATAGGCCACTGCTACATCACTAGAGGGATGAAAGTCTACAACTCCCAACTGCTCTGAAATTATCACTTTCACACCCTCTTGGAACAGATAAAATATGAGATGTCAAATTATTTATTTTTTAGAACCTTAAACTACTTGTTGTTGTTGAGTCTTTTTAACTCAAGAGTTTTACCCTTGAAAACTTACACACTGATTTCTCATGCTCTTCTGTATTTTCCAAGTTTTATGAAAAGATGTTTTCCTTTACAGATTAATAGAAAATAGCTGGTTAATGAGGATTAAGTTATAAAGGTGAATACAGAATATTCAACAAAAATGACAATTATGATAAATTAAAAATAAAATAAATACTATTAATCAATATATGTCAACATTAGTAAAACAAAACTATGAACATTATATTAAAAACAAAACAAAAAAAACTTATGGATGAAATAAAGAACATGAAATAAACATGTCATATTGAGAACAAAAAAGTTCCAAATACATTGTACGATGGTGCTGTATGATGTAAAAACATTAGCATTACATGTGATACTGAAAAGATTTTATAACTAAAACAAGGAAGGTACTAAAAAAATAAGACATTTTGCAATAAGAAATCTTAAAACGAATAGTAGTCACATTAAACAAGAAAATAAAAATTCAGTAATTCATTAAATGGCAATATAGATCTTTAAAAAAATTCTGTTTTGATGATTCACTTTACTGTCACAAAACCTGACATAATACCCTTAGTATCCCTTGGGAGTGACATAAGGGAATTAGCATTTCAATATATATTTTAAGTGGGTCACCAAAATTAGAGAGAAAATATCAAAATAAAAACCTCAACACCTATAGCTTCCAGAAAAATTGAGAGATGAAAAAATTTGGTGATAGTATATGTTGCTTTTAGTTTAAACAGATGACAACAAAGGATTATTAATTCTTTCAAGGCTGTCCTTGCATACCAACTCTTGAGAAAATAAAAATTGAAAACCACCCTTTATTTTTCAGGATATCATAGATTTTCCTCTTAAACTGTTGTAAAGTGCCAATGTTCATTCAGGGTATTAGCTAGGATTTGAAAACTGCTCACCACAATTTCTTTAGTGTAAAGTGTGCCATAGTTACTAATTGAGCACAAATATTATTACAAAGATAAAGGTAACACTGTTTGGAAGGATGAGGTCCATGGTCACTGATAAATCTTTGACAGTTTTTACCATGTATTTTAAAATTTATAGCTGAAATCAATGACTACTATAATCAGTACAATAAAGTATCAAAAGAAATATGTTAATAAAAATCAGTCTAGTTGAAATTTACTGGATATATAAAATGGAATTTTCTAATAAGTGATAAAAAACTGAAATTTTAAGATGAAAGTAACTATTTTTAATGACTTTCCAAAATATCATCTCACAAGAAAGTTTTTCAAAATTTCACAAACTAAAAAATTACAAAAATACTAAATCAGATTATATAACTTTTTAAGCCAAAATTAGGTTCTACTTAGTGTGTCCAAAATTTCATGCAATATGATTGAGTATCATCACTCTGAAAAGAAAAAAAAACCAGAGGAAAGATATCAGACATGGTTAAAGTTCCTATTTGAAAATTATCATTCTCGGTCACTCCAGAAATGAATTTGGATTACATGTTGACTTCGAAGTTACTATTTAATTCGCTCATGGTTGGAATACTGTATGATACATCAAACATAGAAGCATCTACAGTCTAAGTATTGATTAATATTAAATGCTTGTCAGCCACATATAAGGGAACAACAGAAGGAAGTGAATACTTTATTAAATGATAAAGAAGGATATTTCCCATTTCTGTGTTGTAGAGAAACATATGATGGTTGTATTGAAATTAATTTCATAGTTTTACGCTTCCTGTCATCCAATTCTATAAATTTTGGCTTATCTTGATAGATACCTGCCCACCCAAAAGATGGTTGGATAAATGCCTGCCTCCATTACTGCCGATGGCAACTCATTCCATATGCCAATTATCCTGAGTGGGAGAAAACAAAATGTTGTTATTAATGAAGTCCAGTCAAACTGGACCTTTGGTACTAGTGGAATACTTTAAAGGTCAGTGCTTATGCATTTGCTTTTTCTTATTAACATTAATGATATTAAAAGGAGCATAATTAGTAAAATTTGTTGATAATTTGGGTATTTCTAACTGTATTGAGGATGTTGAGGTATTACTTGGACCAATTGGTAAGATGGACAAATATCTGACAAATGACATATAATTACAGTAAGTGCAGGTTAATTAATTTTGGTTGTAATAAGTTAGATCACGTTTAATATAACACAACAGTTAACAAACAAGGGACCTGTTCATTTATATAGGCTGTCCCATCTACTAAATCAGCTCATATCATTCAAATATTTATCAAGCCTTCCATGAGCCCTTTCACTACAGCTGATTTATACGTGCACAGAATTTTTGTGATCTGTACATTGTATAGAGCATACTCACAATCAACTTCTGGAGGCAGACCACACCTTATATGGCAAATCAGCATTCAATGGATTAAACTCCTTTAAACTTACTGCTGCCTCCATATCTGATGGCAACCCATTCCAAAAACCATCTAAGCTGGAGAAAACTCCAACCCTGTCAGAATGTATATTCTTGTATTAAGAATGAAAAAAGATGATACATCAACACTATCAATTCCTTTAATAATTTTAGATACCTCAATCAGATCCACTTCAAAAGAAAACTGAGATCTTAACCTGTCCTTGTATGACAGCCTTTCCATTCCAGAAGTCCTCTTATGAACCCTTTCCAACAATTCAATGCCACTCCTCAGGTAAGAAACCCATGAGTGAACACAATACTCCAAATATTACTTAACCAGTGACCTATACAATGAAATTATAATCTATTTAATCTTGTATTCAATATTTCTATATATAAAACCTAAAATCTTATTCATCCTACAACTAGCAGCAGCACACTGCTGGGAAGGGTTAAGAGACTGATTAACCAGAACACTAAAATCCTTTAAAGGATGGTAAACCAGCCAACCGTATGACTTAACAGGCCCATATGCAGAATATTTGAAAGGGGGGTTCTGATTTGTGAGATCAAAAGGCAACACGTATTGTGCAAAGCACAATCACCACACAAAGCATGCTAATGCTACAGGAGTCTGAGGGCATGTGACTGTTACAAGCTAAAAAATGTTAATGCTTCATTAGAAGAATATAGTTTATGCAGAAAATGTTAAAAACATAACTAGCTGTGCTATATCTATATAACAGAGTTTGGTCGGACCCACCCCATGCGTAAGTGCATGCTTAAGAAAAGGATCTTAGCAAATTGTGGTGATTAAGATTTTCAAGCCATCAAAGCAGTACTCTGTTGCTATTAGTAAAACATTATACTTTATAGAGTGTATTTACAGACAAATTGATTACAAGTTATTAGATTGGCCTTACTTGGAATACTGTGTACAGATTTGGTCTCCTTATTCTAAGAAAGGGTGATGATTTACTGAAAAGGGTTCAGAAAAAGGGTACTACAATGATTCTGAGGATACAACAATCATCTTACAAGGATAGGTTAAATATATTTTCTCTTAAGGAAAGAAGGACAAGAGGTGTTCTTATGGAAGTTTACAAGTTCATTCTAAGGATAAAGACCTCAAAAGATAACAGAATGAAAGAAAAGACACAGGAAACATGTTTAAAATTTGGAAAAGACAAGCTATACTCCAATTATACAGTTTTAACTTTCTAACAGGGTGATTAACTTATGGAATGTGTTTTCATCTGCAGTAGTGGAGGCAAAAAGTTTAGGAGAGGAATTGATGATTTTCTGAAAAATAAAGGGTAGGTTTAGTTATTTACTTTTCTCAAGGGTAGGTATGCAAGTATAGCCTTGAAAAACCATATAATGATCCCTGGTTATTCATGTTAAGTCACATTGTATTCATTTTCAACATCTTATGTGTAATAAATGTTGAAATATTTCACTCTATTATATATACATAGATTGTAGTTTGGCAAATCCATTGATACTTAGACTGCGAGTTATGTAAATATTAAAATATAATGTTAGTGTGTCTCAAAATTCTTATAATTTTAGACTAACAATTATGGAAGAAGCTATTGACACAATTGTCAACAGACAAAAATTCTATTGAAACATGGGTGTATATAGAAAAGAATGATATTTACACCTGTTTTGAAACACAATATTCAGATGGTAGAAAACAATCCTTTTAATAGCAACTTTTACTACAACTCTGTAGAACTATAACTATTTGGCACAAAATTCTGTCCATTAAAATGTCACCCGTTTTATATATGGAATAAAATACGAGTTTTATGTTTTGATATAGTTTTATTTATTTTGTAAAATTTGAGCTTCTTGTTTCCTTTACGAGTTTATCCACCCACTTGTTTTTTATGTATCGTTTCCCTTCTTAATACTAATAGGGTAACTTTGGTAGCCAAGATTTCTGATTACAAACTTTTCACATCAGACATACATATAACATATTTTTAATAATAATAAAAGATGCACGTCAGTTGGAACCAATACTCTCGATAGTCACACTCCTTAATTATGAATAGTTAGGCCTAATACTTTCAAAGTAATAGTTAAGCATGTTTAACTAAGTTAAGCGGTATACAGATCATACTTGTATTACTACTAGTAACACTAACAGTAGAACTTTTAATTACTAATTAAGAATTTTTCAAAATTTGTCAATAATAAATGGTAAGAAGTTAATTTTTGCAAAAACGAGTAATATTCAATACCAATGTCTGACGTAACATTTATAAAATTATAACTTGTTGAAACTAGCTTCTTTGTGTAACTTTTGAAATCGTAAAGCTGAATCCAAAAGTTACAACGACCAATGAAATTTACTGTATTTGTACGTACTCTCAAGCGCCTTAGCCAACTCTGTCCCTCTCCACTTGTAACTAATTATTATATGGCCATGAGGAACTAGGATATCTTTTTTCACTGGCGTTTGTGTCATTTGTGAACTGTCATTCTTCGAAAATGAACAAGCATCAATTTTATGGTGAGGATTTGAATTTACAGCCATTTTCATGGACATATACTGACTATTCATGCCACACTTTACATCACAATCCAATGAAAATACTCATCTTTCACTGTTTACGCCCTCTACAGATTGAACACGACATCTGGTCAAAATAAAGTGAAGCGTCTACCTTAATGATTTTTTTTCCAACATAAATAGAAATTTACATATATTTTGTGGTTCTCTTTGTTACATCCTCTTTTTGGGACCATAAAGTTGTCGAATCGTAGTTTCTAGTAGTTTATTAACATATTTGGGAACATAGCTTATTATGGCTATTCAATGAACTATATAACCTTCTACTATTTTAATTTAAATGTTTGTCTTTGTTCCTTTGTTGTTCTATAGCAGCATTTCTCAAATGGTGGGTTGAGAATCCCCAAGTGAGTCGCGAGCAGGTTTCCAGAGGGGGGGGGGGGTTACAACCTGTCTGTACTGAGGCAACATTTTATTTGAATAAATAAAATTGCCGTGTTTTTTCATCCATGTAGAGATAATGGGGGTCGCAACAACCAAAGCCTGGACACTGTTCTATAGAGATAATACTTGTCACCTGTAGATAATATTGCTTTAATGCTACTTACTGTACAAGAATGTAAGTTACAACATTGTCCTTCACTACATTCATAACACCCAAGGTTGCGGCTTGTTGGAATGAGAATGAGCTGTCATGTGAATAAAATTCGTCACTCTGGGTAAATACAGTTTTTGTACTTAGTCAGCCTGGAACATGATCTTGAAGAGAAGTAGATTGTACAGAAAGTGCATCAGTCCATCATTCCAAAAAACGCGAGTGCTCACAATGTTTTTGTTGTAATAAAAGATTATTTCTTTCATGTTTCACGTTTGTATCCAGCCCTTTTAACATCACATTATATTATTCAGAGATTTAGTGTTATTTTGAAAGCAATATCTTGAGCAAACTTATGTTGTTAATCATACACATTGCTCAGGACAGGAAGGAGAAAATATTGGCACCATGACTGCAGGATACTGTATTGAGAAGTTTGCTATACCTGCTGAAATGTGTACTGCATTTACTTCTACAGTTGTATAAGTTTTAAAAGGCTTCATAGTTAAGGAAACGCCATTTCTACAACTAGAAGAACTTACAACTAAGACAAAGAGTCGAACACTGAGGGAAAATAGCTGGCTGAAAGAGTTATCCAATCTAGAGAAATTCCTCTCCTGAATGCAAGAGTTTTCTAATTCTGCAGCAAAGGTCCATGGTTTCTATCTCACTAGAACCGATGATTAGAGAAGAAGAGTCAATAATATTTGATATATCCACAATGGCTATTTATGCTCTTCTCCTGAAGATTAACCTAACTTTTTAGAAAAAAAATGGACAAATGAGGATCATTGAGGTGGTGTAGCATCTGGTGAGTCTGAGATTGGGTGAGATGGTTTGTATAGAATTTACAGAACTTACGCCAGCTAGAATAGTTCAACCTCAACTCCAGTCAAAGCCACTCAAGAACATCAGAGAGAGAGAAAGACTGGAGATGCCATTTGTGGATGATGTCCACCAACTAGAGATATCTCATTAAATGATGAAGTGATTAGATCATAGAGCAGTGGTGAGTTTCCCTGAGGCCAGGGGGTATAATGCTGAGATAGCCATGAATCACGGAGGAGCCTGGTGTCAAGCAGTGCCACTGGACAAGTTGACAAGCACAACTTGTCATTCTACCATCCTAGAGAAGGAGGATCTGGACTGCTTTCTGAAGCATACAAGAAAGTAACTCCCTGGAATGGATGGACTCCCGAATTTCCTGTATAAGGCCTAGTTCATATTTAATGGTTTGTTCCTACACTCCATTGATCTCTTGAATGAAGGACAACTCTGGGACTATGAGACGTCATTACTGATTTGCTCCAGAATTTCAACCTGGTGGATAATAGAGCAATTCATTGGGCCGAATTTAAGGCTCAGAAGAGGTATACCATGGAAAAATTGACCACTTATGCAAAATATTTCTGCCATTTACATGGTAAGCCTCAGTGGATCATGAGTACATCCTCATTTACAAGTTTATGGAAAGACTACTCAAGAAAATTGTATGCCATCACCTGGATGTAAGAGGTCTTCTTGCCATTAGAGGGGCAGTTTCTACCATGATGCATTATGAAGTAGTAACTTCGAGCAAATTTCAAGAGAGGAAAGACTCTGTGGCAGCAGCTGCAGTGACTTCACTTGGAACAGACAATGATACCCAGGCACCTAAGTCATGCCAGACTCAAAACCAGCTGAGGGTCGGTCAACCACCTGCACATCCTGGTGTTCTAATACAACTACACTGGTATCCAGTGAATGGGGAGGTCTATCCCAGTTATCCCATGGTTTATATACTACAACTTATGCCATTTATGTCACTGCTAAGACGTCATCCTGGAAAGGAGAAGAAAGTGTCTGCTTTGGAATGTTGGTTCAACTTAACTGCCCATACCATGCTGAACAGCTAGGTGAATGATGCATGTGCAACTTGGACTCCTCAGAGCTGTAGCAACAATATTCATTGACTTCTGTTGACTCTCAATGAATATTGTTGATACAGCTCTGAGGAGCCCAAGTTGAGCCTGGACACCAACATGTAGAAGTACAATAAATAGCCTGCACTAAGAAGTGTGGTGGTCAGCCTAGTTCTCTCAGAACTAGGATAGTCTTGGTATGTGCCTGTTTGATTAGAAGGGCGAGAAATAAAGTTCCTGGCTGATGCAAGAGAAGCCAGAATACTGATGGATCTTGTGGTATATGAGATGCTCTGAGCACAACCATCACTCGAGCTAGTGGACACAAACTTCTTTTTTTTTTGGCAAATGGAGATCAACTAGACATTAAGGTGGTTATCTATGTCCTAATTTCTAGTATTGACATCATGGAATGGATTTATTGCATAGCTCATTGGTTAATTTTACCCTTGCAACTGGCTATCTTATGCTCTGTGGTATAGTTATTTGATGGTAGCCACAAGATTGACCCTTGAAACAGTGGACTGCATGAGTGTACGTGAAAGAGGATTTCATAGTATCCCCAACTACACAAATGGTGTTATGTGGTTTAATACAGACAATTTAAAGTGTACCAGTGCTAAGTAACATGGTTATAGAGCTCCAACATGAAACAGGCTATTTCTTATCCAGAAAACAAGCAGCATCAGCTTAGGCCATTATCTGTTAAATGGAGGGAAGAAGTCTTAGTTTGTTCTGCAATTATTGGAAATCATTTATCCAGCTGAACACTGGGATGGTCTTCGGCACAATTTGAAGTAACAAATGTGAGTGGTAATGCTAGGTTTGTGCCCATCGCTCTGTGTCCAAAAGTAAATTTAAAGATAATAATACATTTAAGATTGCTAAGTGAGGATTGCACAGACAATCCAAACTCAACACAGCAGCAACAGCAACTTAAGGACTTGAGGGTGGTATAAGCCAATTAATTTGTAGGACCAGATGGTCAACTGGGTCAAATAACAGTTACGTAACATTACATGGATACAGGCGATGCATGTCCAAGTAAATAATCACAGACATCCCTGTATTACAAAGGATGTAACCAGGACTAAAGTGCAGCAGATGTTAAAGGATAGCACCATATGGCCTTCAGAGAGTTTGGTTGTCAGGAAGAAAGAAGATATGCCCAGGTTCTATATGGATTTTAGATGGTTTAACATAGTAACTCACATTGACACTACTTAATTACCATAAATAGATTAATGTCTACAGCCATTTTAAAGGAGTCATTGTTTCAATACATTAGAAATGGCATCTCAATACTTATAAGTTGAGCTAGATGATAAGAGCAGACGTAAGGCGGCTTTGAGCATGAGAGATGGTGTCAGGTTTTTATGTAGGTATGGGTAGGATTCTTTACAGTAGGTGTCTGTGACTTGTTGGCAATAAATTTCAACAATAAACAAACAGCATACAGTCCATGTGTTTGTTTGTTTTGAATTTCGCGAAAAGTTACACGAGGGCTATCTGTGCTAGCCGTCCATAATTTAGCAGTGTAAGACTAGAGGGAAGTTAGCTGGTCATCACCACCCACCGCCAACTCTTGAGTTACTCTTTTACCAACGAATAGTGGGATTGACCATCAATCGTAAGTCGTAGCATCGTAGAAATATTATAAAGAAACAATTGAAAACAACGAGAAACGAGTTAGACAATTAATGATGCCGAAAATAAGGAAAAGACAAAATGAAACGAGACAAACTTTGTCACACATCAATAACAATACTGCAAATTATTATGAACCTCACTGTCAAAACTTTGATCTCGGCGACAATGAAATAATATTCGTATACCAGTTTTTATTTCTTATTAAATATTCAAGCGACTGAAGAACATAAAATAGAGCGAGAAACAAAAAATCAGAATGGAATATTGAAAATATCGTCTCGTTCCCTCTACTTTTGGAGTCATTTGTAAGATGAAAGAAATAATTTCTTGCATAAATACAGTAAAGATAATTCTGCAATCATCCAACTTCGTGAATAAAACAGCATGGTAAACGGGCATCTCATCTGATATATTGGCCACACCCTGAAGAATACATTGTGGAGGTCTGAAATTGCGCAAGTCTTCCCGTGGTACATGCGTGACTTCCGGTATCTTCACAACCAGAAGTCGCCTGATGTTTGTTTTTTGAATTTCGCACAAAGCTACACGAGCGCTATCTGCGCTAGCCATCCCTAATTTAACAGTGAAGGTAGCTAGTCATCACCATCAACCGCCAACTCTTGGGCTACTCTTTTACCAAAGAATAGTCGGATTGATCGTCACATTATAACGCTCCCAAGGCTGAAAGGGCGAGCATGTTTGGTGGGACAGGTATTCGAACTCGCGACCCTCAAATTACGAGTCAAGCGCCCTAACTACCTGGCCATAATGGTCGAGGAAAACCTTAAACAATGATTATTTATTATCTGCTGTCTTGAAAAGTACAAAATATTTAAGTTATTTAATTACGTTATTCATTATTAAGGGTTAATATGGATTAAATGGCTCTGCCATCTATCATAAATTCGTTTTTTTTACGCAACTTCAATTCTTACCATATTTTTTATCATAAGATGTAATGTTATAAAACACAACAAATCATTCTTAATCAACCTAGGCATTATATAACATAAGCAAGAACTTACTTAACCAACCAGCACTGGAAATTTGAAAGATACAATTTAACTTGATTAAAATTATGACATTAACTCATGAATGCAATTTGCTCATTCGTACATTAAACAATTTAACATACTTTAATATTGAACAATCAGAATTTTGTTCATTTTATTCTAACAATAAAAACTCACTTAAAACTTGAAAAGATAACCAATTAAACACAAGCTTTGTTTGTTTGTTTTTAAGCACAATGGGCTATTTATGCTCTGCCCACAGCAGGAATTGAAACCTAGTGTTATAACCCACAGACTTACCACTGAGTCACCAGGGGCTTAATATAAGTTTAGTTCTTGTAAATCTAGAGAAACACGAAATTAAACCATCTCTAACTTTCATATAATCATCTATATTGACATAAGGCATTAAAACCGAAGCTTTGAGATAGATCATAAACAATCGCTCCACAAGTGTGTTCTTATGATATAAACTTTGCCATTCCTCTTTATTCCTAAAGTGACATAACACGAAACATATTTTAAACTAAATATATATATAAAGCTTTGTGTTGTTTTATGGTCCAACTAGATACCAGATTTTTAAATATGTTTAATTCCAATACTGAATTTCTTCCTTTTTTTTTGTGGTAAAGCTATTAAGGCTATCTGCTACAGTCCCAAATTTTGAACTGCCAACGACAGTCAAGGCAACCATCCACCAGCACCTACCACTAGCTCTTGGGCTACTCTTTATCAATGAATAGTGAGATAAACTCTCACATTATATCTCCCCCACAGCTAAAAGAGCAAACATGATTGGCAGCTGGTATCAACCCCACGACCCACAGATTGTGAGTGGAACACCCTAATCACCAGTTCTTGAATATTGAAATACATGTATTTAACAATAGTTTCTTAATTGATGAAGTCTTAATTCTTTGACCCCTTACCCGTGACAGCAGTGTCTGTGTGGAACATTATTTTGTTATAATGTTGTTGTTTTTTTTATACACAGTTTTAAACCCACTACAACATGCGGGTTGTTTAATGATGATTTTATTGTAGAATCTTCTGTTTTGTGATGTCATACTCAACTTTTAGTGGTATGGCTATCTGTGAATTGCAGGATCGAAACACAGCACCAAACATACATGCCCTTTCTCTAGTGGGAGCATTACAACATGACAGTCAGTACGACTAATCATTGATAAAGAACAGCCCAAGAGTTAGCAGTGGGTGTTGCTGGCTGTTTGCCTTCCTTGTGGTTGGCAATTCAAAATTATGAAAGGCATTGGAAAGCCTTAGTAGCTTTACCTGAAACTATCATCTTTTATTAGCATTCAAAAATCGCTTTCATAACATATTTTGGCTTACTTCTCTCAGTTACATAATGTATTCATCTTGATATATGTACATACAGTGCACACTTAAGAGGCACCCACCACTGACAAGGACTTTGTATAACTCTTTGAACCAAAGAATGGGACTGGTTTTCTCTTTTGTAACATACCTACAGACAGCTTAAAGTGTCATGGTGTGTTCAGCGACATCACCCTTCAATAACCGTAATTTCACACTCGGTCCTAATCTTCAACAATGTATACCTGTTAGGTCATAGAAAATAAATTTGGAAATTAACTTGCTTAGTGCTCCATGGAGCATTTTACTACATAACAGTTCCAAAGATGGTTACAGTATGGTGTGCTCGTGGAACCTTTCAGACTTTATTTCTATTTTAATTCACTTGTTCAAATATATTGTTAAAAGCCATTTTAAATCCTGTAGCATTACATTTTGTTCTAATACATTCTAATTCATATGAAGAAAAAGTGAAAAACAGAAAAGCACATTTTTCATACTTTCATTAAAATTATTTCACTTTTCTTACACAACAGCTGTTATGATTTGGAAATATACTCATTAAATAATGATCCATACAGCAAAATTCAACTTGGCTATTATACTAAAGATTATTACAGAATTATTTGTTAATATCACATTAAAGAAGTTTATATTTTTAGGAATCCAAATTACAGAACAGAAGTGATATTAAAAAATAAACAAACCTTGTTTGAATCTTTTTTGAAATTTTGCATTTTTATTGACTCTTGAAGATTAATGAAATTTACCTAATTTTATCAGTAAGTTTGTTTGTTTGAATTTATGCACAAAGCTACACAATGGGCTATCTGTGCTCTGCCCACCACGGGTATCAAAACCCAGTTTCTAGCATTGTAAGTCCACATACATATTGCTGTGTCACTGGGGGGGCTTATCAGTAAGAAAGAAGGATTTGAAACTCTCATATTTTAAAATTGTCAATTAAAAGAAAGATGATAAAATTAAAATACCATCTTTATTACAAATCATCATGATTTGATGCTATCAATATCAATCAAAACACAAAAATATTTCACGATAATCAATTGTTGTACATTTGATTTTTAAACAACAAAAACTGAATCAATGAAATTTATCTTGACATTTTTAAACAGCTAATTCACATACAGTATTTTTATATTGTTATAGCAAGCTTTATGGCAGCCCTAAATTTCCTGATATATGGTTGAAATTCCTAAAAATAACTAATTTTCTTCAACAAAAATCCTACTTTTCAATGAAAATATGCGAAGGAACTGATTGTTTCAGACAATTATACAAGGTCAATTCTTGTAATTTTGTAGTTTTTTAACTTTTCTTTAAAGTTGTATATCTGTCAGACTCCTAGTCTTTATGGTTAACTGTAGTCTTTGTACCAAGATCTGAAGATTCAACATGCCTGTTCACATTCAAGGTACTAGATGTGTGGTGTTGTCACATAAGTAAAATACAATCATGTCAGTCCATTACCTAGTCCTAGTGAAACAAACTGACTGATGTACAATGATGTGCTCTTTTCACTCATTTTGAAAAAAGTAATAAAGCTGTGGTACAACATGTATTTATAGCGATGTTAGGTTTGCAACAAAACTTTACAATGATAAATATACTGAGCTTTGTATCTGGTACATTTCTTGAACATTTTCATTTAATATCAAAAAAAGACATTCCTCTAAAAATGAATGAATAAATATATAAGAAATAATTTATCATTCACTAAAAACAAAGAATGAACAAGACAAAGGTTTTCAAAAAGATACTACAAATGAAAGCTAGCAAGTAGAAAAATTGTAATCCTCAATGGCTCGTGTACTCCACATCAAATGATTGCATTTTTTATTTCTGCTGCAAGCTATTTGGTAACTGCAACACGGCTTTAGGATACGAAAAAAATATTTTTTGGCTTTTATATATACTTTTGATTAACTCAAAAAATCGTAAATTACTATATTAATGCCATACAATTCTACTATAATTTATCAAATTTAGTAACTAAGCTATCTTAGCAAATAGAAAAGATAAGACCTTCTTATTTTATAATCTAGCTTGTCAATATCTGTAATTTGAGTTTCTAATATGTACGAAACTATAGTCTTAGTATTTTGACTTCACAAAAATCGATGTTTATCCGTGTT